CTCATTCAGTAAGCAGCCGAGGGCTGCTTGGGGCCCCTTCTCTGCCTCCTCCTCTGAGTGTTTCCTCAGGGAATGGGATGTTACCATTCCATGCAGCTCAGCTGTCCATGATCTATTTCTTAAATGCAGATAAATTAAAAGCAGGTTGTAAGTGATCGGCTACATCAGCCCAGATCTTCCTGCAGTAAAATGGACGCATAACAACCAAGTTTTCATTCCCTGCACATGCTGGGGGCTTCCACAGTTGCCCGCCCCCATGCAGTTAGAGTGGAAATGAAGTGCAGAAGAGAGAGAACAGACATTTGGTATTTTAAAAAATGCCTTTTAAATGTCTAGGTAAATGGTATATTACCCTGTAGCCCTTTCAAAATCTGTGGAATAAGCCATGAATGCCGTTACCTAAAAAGACCAGTCCTGGAAAACCCTGGAACGTGCCTCCCAAGAAGGGCAGCAAAGCTAACACCTCGGGGAAGAAAATGTCTCCACTTGCTTCCAGGAATGTCTGTTTCTGTGCAAACTGTGGGACAAGAAAAGCAAGCACTGTGGTTCACTCATAATTTTGGTCTCATCAGCCACGTGATAGGCAGTACAGTTTTTGCCACCAAAACGATACGCACGGTGGGCGGGTTACTACTTTGAGGGCAGGTGTGAATGGACACAGGTTTCTTCAGAATGACATAAAAAGTCACTTGATGCTTCAAATGAGTGGTCGGGATTGCAAGTTAAGTGGAAATATGTGCTTTTTATATAGAACCACATGAGCCAAAGCCAGTCCCCACGTTTTTCCTCAACTGCCCCGTGCCCCTGCAATACCCCAGGAACTATGCAAAGCAAGAGATCACCTGGGGCTTCAGCCCCCAACTTGAGAGGCAAGTGGTCCTGAGTTATATTATAGTTGGACCGAAAGGCATCTGAAAAGTTCGCTTTTGCATTTCCTCCCCAAGTTCATTCCCAGGTCACCCTTGTGGGGAAAGTCTAATCCAGAGCCCACAAACCATTGACAAGGGCCAAAGAAAAAGGGGGACAGTCCCCAACGACTTGAATAAAGATGGTCTCGATGGCCTCAGTCTGGCAGCCACCTGTCTCCGCAGCAGCTCCAGGCCTGCCTCTCCCCACTGGCTGGGGAGAGAAGGAGCGCTGAGGCACTGCAGCCCCTACCGTCTCCATGGCATCTCAGGCCTTAGGCAGAGGGTGGAAGCCAGACCTGTCGTTGTTTGCATTTGGGGAAAAGAGCAGATCAAAGGGTGGAAAGATGCCTTGCTCTGCTGCTGGAGGCCAGCAAGGACCATACAATAGACAAAATGAAGCAAAATGAGTCAAAGCAGTATACAGCAGCAATAGCAGTAAGGCAGAGTGTGTTGTGGAGAAAGGTCAGTTTCCGAGGAGTCCTGGGCAGGCTGAGGTGCTGCCCGGCCCAGAGAGAGCCTGAAAGAGGGAGTGAGGCTGCGTCAGTGATACCAGATGGGTGAGGACCGCTGCAGGGGAGTCTGAAGGACATCCGAGTTTTGTGCGATTGGTCCTGTTCCTAAGGGTCCTTTCTAGTCATTACCAGCGCCTCCCTAGCTTGAGCAGCAGATCTGGTTTCCAAAAGATCTGGATCAGACTGCATCACCGATGCTGGGGTGAAGAGAAAGTGTGCACCATGGACTCTATCTGAGAACCAACCCCACTGCCCTCATCTCTAAGCCTCTGTCTCCTTGATCAGTAAGATCAGGAAATGTTCCATCATTTGACTCTGAGAGCATCTTGACTTGCTTTCTTCAGAATGCTCTGGGCTTTCTCCTGCTTGCTCACTCTTTCCCCCGCCCCTCCATTTTCCAGACAGTACCTCCATGCTTTTCGGAATGGTTTCCCAGGCTCCCAGCTGCCTCCAGGAATCCTGTCCTGAGGCTTCCTGCTCATCCACTTGGGACCTCAGCATTCTGACTGGCTATTCTGCAAAAAAAGGAGAAAGCAACAGCTCTTACCTGCTTGTGGCAAAACAGTTCCAGCCAGCTGTCCCCTAGTTTTGCTGGGAGGCAAGAAGGGTCCATGATGAGTGGGGGGAGGCCTCCCCGGCTTCCCATTCTCTTTTTCAAAGAAGTGGCCACTTATACACCAGAAAAAGCAGTTAAATTTCTGGGCTGCATGCTTCTCTTAGTGAAATGATCTAAAGCCGTGTGCAAAGAGCACATAAATTTATTATGACGTGGATCCGAACTGGGGATACGTCTGTCTGTACACACATGCACTCACCTCTCAGCATCTAACAGTGAAAAACTGTGCAGCCTCATAAAAAACAAAGCCACCTTCTCCCCAACTCCCGACAGCCAAAATGTCCTTAAAATAAATGGGGAAGATTCACTCTCCACACCTGTGCGGTGGAGTTCTTATGAATCAGACAAATCTTGAGTCTCTCAGGTAACATCAGACCGGAGAGCGATGCTCACACTCCTGGCATCTGTAAGCCTGACTGCTTCTTGGTGATTTACTCAGGCGACTCTCCAGGCACGAGGGTGTGGAACCTCTATTTATTCACTCCAAAGAAAGTGGCAAACAAAAAGTTAGCCCTGACACCAAGTTAATCAAAAAGTTTTAATAGAGTACTTGAAGGACCCGAGGCAAATGCTTAGAGCCATAAACAGGTGGCACAAATCATTTTCAGCCTTGTTAGAGAATGCAGAGTTCGCTGCGGCAGGAGATTATTTCCTGAGTAATTAATCTGCTTGTTGCCACCCCAGCGTTTATTCATTTGGGGGCATGGAAACCCATCTGTAAGGCCAGTTGTTAGAACTGGTGAGAGAAGACTTCCTTCCTTCCTTATTTATTAGAGAAGAGAGAAAGCAGAATGAGTCTTTGTGGTCATATTTCAGGTCAAAGCAAGTCAAATATTCCTTTAGGCCTGTAGCATTTGCAGGAGGCCAAGTGGCTGGTGCAGGAGGGGCTGTTACTTTCATATTCATGAAGAATGTGTGCGTGTGTTGTAGCAATGTCTAACTGGGTGGAGCTTCCGGGTCATGAAGCTACTCTCCAAGTGTGAAAGGAGATGTTGGGAAGCGCTGAGTCAGTCAAGCAGCACTGTGCTCTGAGAACAAGAAGGCACCCTTGCTCCAGAGAGCGTACTTCTGTCTGCTGGTAACTGTCACAGGGCACGGAATGTGTTAGAACAAGATGCTTTACTGCCACCTGCCAGGAGACTGTCATAATAAAAGTGCAAATCTACAATTCTTTGATGTGAAGGCCACCTCTTTAGATATGTCCTTACATATCACGTGATCTCAATAATTGTATATGCAGGCACCACAATCGAGGCAACACTTAGCAAGCTTTGGGGAATACTAGCAAGTTAGATGGAATAAGCGCTCATATAGAACTGGCTTATCCACTAAAATAGGTAAATTTGAAAAAGAGTACTACAAATTTGATTAGTTATTTTCACGGAAATGGAATTTTAAACATAAAATAGATTTTAAAATGACTAAGAAAAACAAATAGGGTTGACTCATAAAAATTTAAAACTTCAGTAAGTATATAAAAAAAGAAAAACATCATAAATCAAATTTAAAATAAATGAGAAAATTTTTCCTACAAGTATGACAAAGGATTAACATTCTTAACAAGCTGATGATATACTTTGATTAGGAAAAAAAGACCGCAGGACAATAGGAGTTACTGTGAGTTATTTATTTACAGAGCATCAATAACATAATGAATAAAATGTTTAGCTTTTGTAGAGATCAATGAAGGAAAATGAAAATACCCACTAAATACTTTTTCATCTATCAAATTAGATAATGTTAAACTGTTAGTTAACTCAGTATCTTTGGATTTCCAGGCCTTCCCTAGTGATAGGATACGAAACACTGGGCAGTGGGGTTGAAAAGTACGGTCCTTAAAGCAGGTTTTTGTAGATGCTCTTTCTCAAGTTAAGGAAAGTATTTTCCATCTGCAGTTGGTGGACAGTTTTTTTTTATTAAAAAGGACACTTTAATTGCATTCTTTTAAAACCACCGAAGGTGTGTGAGAAGCTGCGAGGTGCTGCGCAGCTGCAGAGGGGTGGGGACAGGCGTAGGTGGCGTCATGAGGCCTGGTTTGTGGTGTGATGTTCTTAGCTAATCTTGGATGAAATTTGTGAATTTGAGCATTTCAGTGGAAATACTCTGTAGCATGGCGTTCGTGAGAGAGTGCCTTGGGTGGGTGGCAGGTCACTTGCTATAATCCCCAGCGGTGTGGTGCACTGAGAAGAGGCAGTCCCAACAGGAGATTTTGGGCTCTTCATGGAAGCCGGGCTCTGTAGGAGCCCAGGCAGAGTCTGTGGGGAGGTCGTGGTCATGAGGAGCCATGGTAGAACTGCAGTGACTAAGTAAGGCCATGCTTTCCAATTACTCACAGCAAGATCTGTTCTTAAAAATACAAAGTGACAATTGAGACGATGAGGTAAGACCCCTTGGGATGGCCCTAGCTCTTATCCATCGGAGTATGTATGGGGATCTGATGTTCTCTTGAACTTCCACAGTGTGATTTCAAGCAGTTATACCTCTGGCTTTAAATTTCTGGCGTATTTATGTCACCTAGGAGTTCCCTTTGTCCTTCACTACTTCCTTCCCTCCCTCCCTCCCTTTCTCTCTTCCTCTCCTGTTAATTTCTCAGCTATGCATTTAAATTTATTTTAAAATGTTAATCAAACATTTCTATTTTTCTAATGGACAGAGGCTGTGTTAGTCCAGTTTACTTTTTTGTCAGAAACTGAAGAACCATATTCAATTTCGCTACTGTTATTTTAAAGTAAATATTAAAAGGAAAGAATTTTCCATTTTATCACAAAATCCTTGTGAACATATCTCTTAATTGTAGTATATTTAACTTCATGACTACACCATAATGAATTTAATTATTCCCTTAACTGAAAATTTATATTTCTTCATTTAAAAAAGTAATTCTTAATGCTGAGGTTGACAATGAGTACATTTTTCCATATTTTGGCTTATTTTGATGTATTTATAAATTAGTACCCTGTTTCTTTCATAATGAAATTGAATGGATAAAAACTCAGCTACAGTAAAAATTGAGTTGGGGGAGAAGAAACTAGGGAAACAATAAAACGAGGTAGAGGTTTAGCACAGAAAAATTAATTCTATTCTTTTCTTGAGATAAGCTATAAATCTAAAGTGCCTAGGGGCCTAATAGGAGAGGTTAAATATGTGTTTCACATTGTCCATAAACTAAAGTCAAATGAGTTGTCCGAGAGAAGCATGTTTTTTCCTAAGAGAGGTCATCGACACAATGCATTTCATGTAGAGAACTTGCCAGAAGCCCAGCTTCATCCACGGGTCACGTTTAGAATATCCAGCACAGGGGTCTTATTGTAGAGACGGTGACACTTCTGAACTTGTCTGCCATGTCTGTGTGCATCTGGAGACACAGAGCAGCAATTATTAACTTTTTTCAACTCATGGCACACATAAACTAATTACTAAAATTCTGTGGCACGGGGAAAAAATGCTTGGCCGATCTGACAAAAAAGGGAGGTACCATTTTGATTCATTCACACCAGACAGCTACTGTTGTGTTGGCTGTTGTAATTTTTTAAAAAAATTTGACAATCTAAGGGAAAAGAGGTCAGCGCCCCTGACCAGTCAGGTACGTCACGTTATAAAAATTCTTGTGGCACACTGGTTGAAAGTTGCTGACCTAGAGATTGGAAGCTTTTGCTCTTGGTCTAGTCTTTCCAGGGACGTTGGCTTTGTACAGGCAGCCGCTCCATCCTTAGCTCCAAGGGAAACTCCTGCCGCTGCCGCTGGCAACTGTAGTGGCCCACGGGTGGGCTGAGACCTGAGCTAGCTGCAATGAGAGGCAGCTTGGTTACTCCTTGTCTCTTCGTAGATCTGAACAGGGAGCACAGAGCTCTGGTTGCCACTGGGAGCCGCCTGCCCCCACAAGCCAGCCTTCGCATGAGGCTGATGCTGAGATGGTAGAAGAGAAGCGGGCTGCTGATGACATCATTCACTGCCGACGGCACCAGGCCTGGAGCTGCTCCCCTCTAGATTCCAGCTGTTTTCAGATCTTTCTTCTAGTTCAAGGCAATTTGAGTCATGGTTTTGCTACTTGCATCAGAAAGCATGCACACTGGTCCAGGGTTACATAACTATCATCAAGAAATCTATGACCAAAAGATATAAAAATCATTAAGCTATCGATTCAGGTAATAATCAAAATAGCTATCCCATGTATGTTTTCTCAGCACCTGGCACTGTTCTCAGCATTCTCCAAGCATTTATTTATTTTATCTTCACAAAAACTCGGTGCAATTGGTATCATCCCCATTATCCCCATTTTACAGAAATAGTGTGAGAGGTAAGTAACTCGGCCAAGGTCACTCAGCTACTGTACTCAGGGAGCCTGGTTTGAGGGCCTGGACCAACCACCACCCTACCACACCACCTCTCAGCGAACACCTGTACCTTTTATACAGACACCTTTCTCCCAACCTGGGGCTGGGGAGATCGGACAACAGAGAGGCCGTGATGCTAATCCTGGGAGGACAGCTGCTGTGTGATGCCGAGTGGTCAGCAGATGTACAACTTCAATAGTCACTGGGGCGGGGAGGTTAGCGTGTAGTCAAGGGCAGAACTGATGGTCAGATAACCGGAGTTGAATCCTGGATTTGCGGCTCACTAGCTCTGTGATCTAATCCGTGGAGGCTGGTTTTCCTCAACTGTAAAATGGCAGCCATAATAAGAGCTCAGAAGGTTGTATAAGGATTAAATGAGACGGTGGTCAGAGGGTAAGCTCTTCTTGTTGAAAGACCACAGTGTAGAAGGAGTGACCTCTGGCCTGTGTTTGAGGAAGTGGTGGGAGGGGCCCAGTGCCTGACTTAGAGGGTAGAATAAAATGTAGGGGCCTCGTTTATATGTTACCTCAAATAGGCAAATAATAAAGACAGAAAGTAGAACAGAGGTTACCAGAGGCCCGGGGGAGGGAGGAATAGAGAATCTGTATTTAGTAGGTAGAGAGTTTCTGCCTGAGATGATGGAAAGTTCTAGAAATAGTGTTGATGGCTGCACAAATGTAGTTAATGTCACTGGATTGTGCAATTAAAAATGGTTAAACTGGTAAATTGTTTGGTAGGTATATTTTATCATAATAAAAATCATGGAAAAAGAGTCAGGAGCTTGTGGAAACTATTGGTTAAGGGAGAGTAGGGATGATGATAACTGAGTATGAACACCATGAACAGAAACTCTGGCAGGAGAACTTAAAACCCATGGGAATCACGGGATTACACTTTTAGAGCCAGTTTTACACATAATGCCTCTGCTCACGATTGTTGGCTGTATGGTGAAACAGTCAAAGGAGTCCTGAGACAGAAAGGATGGCAAAGGCAACCTGGTCTCATTGCCTCGCTGTTCGAAAGAGACACGTCCTGTGGCCGGTGTTGTGGAGGGAGGGCTGGGGCCTGCACGTGTTGCCAAGAGGTATCAACAAGGCTCACAAAGTTGAGCCCCTTGGTCCAGAGAGGGGTCAAGTTTTCCTCGGAGACCTCGCTCACTTCCCATTGTCCTTGAGCACGTATGATTAAGTTTCAACCTTAAAGTATTTAAAAAAAAAAAAAAAAGCCTTGGATGGTGTGGCTCAGTGGATTGAGTGTGGGCCTGTGAACCAAAGAGTCACGGTTCGATTTCCAGTCAGGGAACATGCCTGGTTGTGGGCCAGGTCCCCAGTAGGGAGTGCACAAGAGACAACCACACAATCATGTTTCCCTGTCTTTCTCCCTCCTTCTAAAAAATAAATAAATAAAATCTTTTTTAATTGACTAAAAGGAAAATAACCCTTCTTTAAACTTAAAAGAAAGTGCATTTTTACAATAACAATAAAAACCCTCCCAATCAAGTGTTTAAGAGGCAGACTGCATCCCAGCCTCTGCCCGGGGCCCGTCACTATCCTCAGCCAATCTGTCTCTGACATAGAAAGAGCTGCTGTTTCAGTTCTTATTGCTGCATTTTAAACTTTATTCAGAGAAGTGGGGAGAGGGAGCCCTGGATGGGAATGAAGAATGAGTGTTTGAGACCGGGCAAGGGGAAAAGGAAGATAGAATCGCTGACTTGTACAACAGATGCTGTAGGGAGAAACAGTAAGATCCACAGCCCTGAGAATGTTCATGGCCAGTTTAGACAAACCTCTGAGATGGGCAGTCACGCCCAAGCCAGTCATCTACAGAGCTCCACACCCACTCCAGCCCTGCTGTCCCCCGCTGTGCCGTCCTGCAGGGCTCCCGGCACATGGGACAGACTCAGATGCACGTTGGTGAGTGAGACGGTGGCAGCCTAGCACCTGGTACCAGCGTTCCTAAGTGGAAGCACATCTTCTAATTCTGGGGGACAGTCTAATGCTCTATCTTCTGCCTCCTGAGCATGTCCCATCTGGTTGGAGACATGGCCTTTCTGCGACAGGTCCTGGCTTCTTATTCTGGGGCATGTCAGTGTCATTTGTCCCTATAACCTCATCTCCCCCTGGGCCAATTCAATCTGTTTTCCATTTCTGAGATAAGTAGAAAACCTGCCTGCTATTTACATCCCTGGAGACTTGGACAACGAATGAATTACCTGAAATAGGGAATAATTTATTATAGTCATGACTTTTAAAGTCATGGCCAGGCTAACTTTCACACTGACTTTAATTAATAGATCTTCAAAAAAAAAAACGCCCTCCTCCACCTCCCTCCCCCACAGCCCTTCACCGCCCTGTCCCCTGCGCACTTGGGGGGAGGTGAAGGGTATAGTGTTTATCACAAGCTAGTCTGAGCATTAGAATTCCCAGAGAGTTATGCAGCATGAGAATCCAGCCCAATAATAATAATCCTGAATGTTATTTATATGTGATTTCTCTGCCAAAGTCATCTAGGGGGCTCCCAAAAGGACCATGCAGGAAAAATTCCACCGTTGGCATGTGCCAAAAGTCTTAATAAGTAAGGTTCACGGGGGGGTTTAATTAAAAAGAGCTCATTTGGTAGCCCATCTCCAGTGAGAATAAAGTCTGTTCCAGAGAAGTGTCTGCAGCAGGCAATCTGGGGCCAGCATCATCTTCCCTGAGAATCCTCGATGCCCATTTACCCGAGAAAGGTGGACCGCTGCTCCCATCCCGAGACGTTTCTGTGCCCTGATGGGATCCCATCACCAAGAGCCTCCATTGCTAACACACTGTCAGCTCCCATGGAGGCAGGGTAGCCAAGGCTCTGAACGCTGGGGAGAGCGCAAGGGATGCTGCTTTTCAAACAGTGCTTAAATGCAGCATTAGGCAAAGACGATTTCCCCGGATCATGGATAAGTGTGGCTGTCAGTATAACTGTCACTATTGAGTGAATTGGAACATCAGAAAGAGCATTTTTAAAATCCAGGAATCATTTTTATCCATTACTTTACAAATACGTTTCTACTTACTGATTCCTACGGGAATAAAATTGCCATACAGGAAAAAAAAAGAAAAAAGAAAAAGAAAAGAAAAAAAAGCAGCTCTTGTCTCAAGTAGTACTGAAGTGTGAGCATGCCAGGACGCCAGGACAGAGGTTCAAACTTCCAGCCCCTTCTTGGATTTTCAGCCTGATGTCTGATCTCCCAGCTGGGGCCAAGGCCTCACCAGCAAGACATGGCAGGTATTTTCAGCCAGCCCCTGAAGGGCAGCCTGGCCGCTGGGTCAGGAGAGCATGCTTGCGTGTTGCCTGCCCGTGCTGGTGCGCCAGAGCACCGGCATTTGCAGGTTCTGCATGTTAAGCTGTTGACCCAGTGACCTGCAGAGTTCCAGGGAGCGTGTTTCTGCTCAGAGAAAACTGCTCTGATTGGCAACAGCAGCTAATGAATTCTTACTTGGAGGCAAACATTGACTTCACCTTTGAGCCCCAAGGAGCCTTGGGAAAGCTCAGGCTACTCAGAGCTTTTTGAGGAGTTTCACCTTAGAGCTGAGGATTTAGGCAAGAGCGTGTCAGTGGGAGACGAGAGGTCAACACGCTACAGGACTTCACAGGTGCTGGGGCCCGGCCACCTGCCCTTCAAGCAGGTCAGTGCCTAAACCAGCTGCTGAGCTATTTAAAGGAATTTCTAGCATTGTGGGTTCATGTGAACTCACAGAGGCACTTGATGGTAGAGTCAGGGAAGTGGTGGGGGGAGGCTTGGGACCATATCCTCTCCTTTTAGAGACGAAGGTCAAGGATCAGGCTGGTGCCAAGGTCACCGAGCAGGCTGATAGCACAGCTCAAATGTTTCTGGGACAGAAATTTCAAGGACCAGCTTTGGTGATGTGCCAGATAAATATAGCCTAACAATTTGTCATGAAAGTGATCAGGAGATCTGAAAACCAGGAGCAGATGCAGCTCCACAAGAAGCATGATGAGAATGTCCCCGCACACCTGCTGTGGAATG